ATATATATATAGCAAAAAAAACAATATGGCACAACAAGGGAAATATACTCCACCTAGCATCTCTTTCATTCCAAAAATTTTTTTAACGCCCATTTGTAAAAAAAAAAAAATTAACTGTAAGGTCCATCAATCATATTGTTATTACAGTAGTACTTATTCTTGCATATGTCCTCAAAAAAATAGGAAATCCCCACTACAATGACGTACTTTCATATTTAACAAGTTACTTATCCCTTTTTCACTGGTAAACCACTAATTGGAACATTTAAGAACAGTTTTTGGTTGCAGGTTTGCATGCCTGTTATCGAAAACAAAACCAAATTAAAATTAAGCAGAAAATGAAATATTTATGGAGAATAAACAATGGCAATGACAACATCTAATGTACATGAGATCACAATAACCGTAACTGAGGTACCGAACTGACGAGTATTACACACGGAATTTACAACGATTGCAGTTCGCTACCTTGTGTTTAAATCAATCTTTCCAAACTTCACACATTTAGGACGTTCTCCTGCCTACAACCAAATAAAGGAGTAGTACAAAAACAGTAGCAGTATTAACGAATGAATAGAGAAAAAATAAAAAAAAGATGAGAACAATAACCACTGTTCAAAATGACCAAAAAACTGTCAAAATAACAGTGAAGCTTTCCCAGAACTGATTTTTTAATATCGGGTACTGAAACCACTATTTTAAGAAAACAGTGTAGAACTCCTTCACCTGTTTCACAGAAGTGCCTTTGCGAACAATTCAAGCCCGACATTTCAACCACATTCAGATGAGTCGACCAATGTCGTCTTTGTTGAACATAATTGACCTTATTGAGCCATCCATTGAACATGCTACTAAATGGTATCCATGCCTGAATAGATATAGGTGACTCCTCTTTAAAGAAGTAATGAACTTTTGTCAAACATTACTGTGCTAAACTGAGGAATAAAAGTTTTAAAGTATTTACTCATTGAAAGACTAATACCATGAAAAGTCCATCACTGAGTGTTTGAACATATTTGGAAGAACACGTAATGGTCTGTCCATATCTGGGCTGAGCCATATAGTTATGCCTTTATCTCGGCTCCCTACAGCGAAGCAAGTTTTCCTTTGAGGTTTCGCCTGCAGTTACGCAGAACATATGATACAAAGACAGGAAAATTGAACCTTTTTTCCTTAAAATGATGGGTAACCAAGCCTACGTTCACAAAATTCTGTTGAATTACTAGACCTGGTACTGTATTGCTCCAAAATTAATACTGGAATCAAACTAGGGTTTCTAAAGACCGCAAAACCCTATGATAAATACCTCTGGGTCTGGGTCTACATATTCAACAGGCTTTGAACATGCTCGTACGGCGGTAATGGAGTTAGCATGAGCAACCAGATGCTTTGAGGTGTCCCAGTCCTGAAAACTCAAATGTATAACAAAATCAAAAAACAAGAAGTTTAGAAACACTTGTTACACGGTGCAGAATTATTTGGTTCATCAAGAGAACACCTTCCGCCTGATTATCTGAACTGTAAACCCTGTAGTCGCACTTTTCGCACAAGGGACTAAGAGGTAGTCACCATCAACAGACCAATCCATGCGACAGAAAAGGGTGGTCTGGTAGCTCTAAAAAACTAGTAAAGCAAAAAACGTTGCCTCGAAGAGCGAAAAACTAAAAGTGATAACTACATGCAGTTTAACCATTACAAAACCCCGTCTTAAACTAACTTCAGAAAATGGTTCCTTTATTATTTCAATGCACTGCCATGTTTCTACACTCCAAATTCTAAGTGACCTGTCGGCCGCCTGTGTTGCAAGAAATCTGGTGGAAGGGTCCCAACTAAGGCCTTTTATGGGAGCATCATGCCCACCACGGCTGACGTCAAGCGAAACAAGTCTTTCTATAAATTATTTTCCATGAAATCACAGTTTCCAACTGAAAAAAAAAATCCAGCAAATGAAACCCTTCGCAAAAAGGTAATTATCAAAAATGTAAGGCTTCAGTTTAGTAAACTAGTTAACCATAAGGTCCATAAATGTGTGAAGATGCAAGATCTCTAGAAACAAATACATTTCTCATTTATAAAAAGTGACCCGGCAGATTGAGAGCGTCCCAAACAATCACGAAGTGATCTAGTCCACAAGAAGCTAGATATTTGCTATTTTTACTCCACTCAAAATGCAGAATGTCTGCTTTGTGGCCTTCCAATCTGAACCTTTCGTGATATGACTCATCACGAATGTGTTCCTGAAAATTGAGTTAATAATCGTCCCACAAGAGAAGGAATAATAAAAAGAATAATAATAATTATAACAATAATAATAGTAATAATAACAACAGCAATAACAATAATAACAATAACTGTCATCATTACTGTCATTATAATGGTTATCATGAGCACTATTATAGCCATCACTATTATCATTATTATAGCTACAACTGTTACCATTACTATAACTATTACTATTGTTATTATTATGAGCATTATTGCCAGCACATAGACTCTTACAAAAACCGTTGATGTCAGAAGCACTTTTTCACCTCCTGCTTAACTCGTTTGAAAAATATACCGTTAAAAAAAAAGAAGCATTACTTCGTTCTCATAAGAGCCTTCCCATATCACCACCAACTTGTCGTCACCACCACATGCAAGATAGCGACCGTTTGTAGACCATCGAACACAACTAACGCAGGCTAAAAAGAAAAAAACAATGTAGCAAAATATTTTAAATATAGAGAACAAACTTTATATGAAAACATAAAGTTTCCAAGCCGGCCACGAATTACTTACTGTGAGAACTACATAGCCAAGAATTAAAATCATTTTTAAGCAAAAAGATCACTTAAAAAGAATAATTCTATTAAATATTCCTCTCCGATAAAAAACCTGAAGTTCCATTTACCAAGAATGATCACAAATGGCGAAGAAATCAAAAGTCCCTTCGCAACACGACTTACCCCGAAAAGGTATTCGATGAAGAATCCGCGGACAAGTCTGATCTCTCCTTTCTTTCTCGCTAATAATCGGCTTCACATACCAAATGACAACTAAACCTGAGGATTGTTCGTTGCCCGCTCCACATGTAGCTAAACGCAATCCGCTTGGATGAAAATCAACTGACAGTACGCCACCTGAATCGGTCGGTATACAGAATAAAAGGATCTACAAAAAGAAATCAGAACAAAAATAAAAAAAGTATATGAAAAAAATCATTGCCAGTAGGATGGAAAATAAATATTTATAACTCTTTTTACAAAATTACCAAGCAAGTTTTTAGCTTCCCTTCTTTTTTGCCCCAACAAAAAAAAAAAAAAAAAAAAAAAAATGAAAACACCAACACGGTTCCCGACAATGTATTACCTTTATGACGTATCCAAGATGGATTACTTATATGCATCCTACTTTTCAGATGCTAATACTGACCTGCAGCTACAGACGGTGCAAACAATCCTAACTGCTAACTTTCATCAAAACCCCTCTTTATCTCCGAAGTACTACGCGCTAAATGTCAATAAAACGGTGTGTACTTTTTAGAGTCAAATTATCTGAAAAAACAAAGAAAAAAAAAACATAAAACAGTAATCTTCAAAAATTCGTTAGCTGAGCAATTAAAGGAAAAAATAGCAACAACAGGAACAATAGCGAATGATTTGGAGCTAAAATTTTATTTACAGCAGCCTAAATACGGCTCTAATGTTTATTTTCAATTATGCTCAGATATAAAAGAATAAAACAGGTACTAATTGTTATTAAATAAACACTAAGTACAAATGAGACCGTAGCGGAAAGGCCTGCTAACCGACAGCAAGATCAGCAACAAAAACAACCATTAAAATTAAATGATGGCTTTTTTCTTTCCAGTCCTTGGAATCAATAAACCTGAAGAGCAAGAGCAAGAAAGCAAAAACGAAGCACGTGACAACATGGCAGCAGTGTTACGAAAAAAAAAAAAAAAAAAAAA